TGTCAAATGCCGTAAGGGTGGACAGGTTTGGGTTGAGCGCCCTGATTAAGACAGACTAGAAAGCAGGATGGGTCATCTACTTCCTAAATAACAGCCTTTGAAAACCTTATGAACACTAAAGGAATGAGGATCGTTATAATAGTACAGTGGTATAGCCCAGACAGGAAGTCAGTTGAAATGAGGAAAAAACAGTAACAAACATCGTTTAATTATTGGAACATGAAATGCATGTAGCTTGAATGTTGGAAAACTGAAAATTGTTTAAAATGAAATGGAATGCATGAGCATTGTCATACTGGGCATTAGTGAAATGAGATGGACCAGCTTTGGCCACTTTGAATCAGATAATCATATGGTATACTATGTAGGGAATGATAAACAGAGGAAGAATGGTGGTGTATTCATAGTCAAAAAGTCAATTTCAAGTTCTATCCTGAAATACAATGTTGTGTGTGATAGGATAATATCCCTTGGGATTTACCACCTCTGAAAACCCACTGGAGGGTCAGCTATGAGTCAGTTCTAACCCAACAGCACCAGCACATGATAGCAACAATATTATTGAGAATATGCACCATAAAAACATAGGCCCAAATACCATTTCTACCTGTACAATTCAGTGACATTGATAACATTCCTCCAGTAGTACAACCACTTTCACTCTCCTTTTCTGAGTTGTTCCTCCTTCATTATCATAAACTCAGGACCATTAAAATGGAACATACCAGGGACTACCAAGAGAACTAACAGGTTTGTTCTGGAGAGGGTGAAGCCAAGCTGCTCCTTGGAGGCAAGGATTTTGAAACTCTGTGTCATATACTTTGAGCATGTTGCCAGGAGGGACCAGTCCTTGGAGAAGGACGTCATACTTGGAAGGTTGAAGGAACAGCACAAGAAAGGACGATTCTGGATGAAATGGATTGACATAGTAACTGGGGTAATGAAGGTAGGCGTGTCAGAGACAGGGAGATTGGCTCAGGATAGAGTTTAGAGCTATTGTTCATAGAGTGCTGTGAGTTGTGGTCAACTCGATGGCACATAACAACAACAGCAATAACAATAACAATCTTTTAAGTGACTTAGTCCATAGGGAGTTTGCACTGCTAACCTGAAAGGAGTGCTTCTTTGGCAGTTGAAATCCACCAGCTTCCTTGAGAGAGAAAGATGAGCATTCTCCTCCCGTGTGACTTACAGCCTGGGAAAACCTGCTGAAGGGTCAGCTGAGAGTGATTTCTCACTCATCAGCAGTGAAAAAGTGAATGAGTGATCTAACCTGTCAAGTGATTGTCAGCTTGATCACATATAGATAATTCTTTCCCATACAATATAATACTAATAACCAACCAAAATAAGGAATGAGCTACTAATACACAAAATAACATGGATGGATTTGCTGAAGGAAGAAACCTGGGCACAGAAGGGGTGTTAATCTAAGGCAAAAGGAAATATGAAAAGTCATTGTCCTGGGGTCAGGGACCATGAAATAGGAGATGAGAGGGAAGTTTCTAGGATGATAGCAATGTTATATGTCTTGGCACAGCTTTCTTTTAAACAAAGATAAATATTTGTAAAAATTATCTAACAATCTAAAAGATTGTACGCTTCAGTGTCTAAATTTTATATCAAGAAAAGAACTGTATCAAGACAACTATGAGATATCATCTCACCCCAGTAAGACTAGCAAAATTTAACAGAACAGCAAGCAACAAATGCTGGCGAGGTTGTGGAGAGACCGGAACCCTTATCCACTGTTGGTGGGAGTGTAAAATGGTGCAACCACTGTGGAAAGCGATGTGGCGCTTTCTCAAAAAGTTGCAAATAGAGATACCATTTGACCCAGCAATTCCACTACTGGGAATATACCCTAAAGAGACCATAAATGGCACCCAACTAGATATATGGATACCCATGTTTATTGCGGCTTTGTTTACAATAGCAAGGAGTTGGAAACAACCCAAATGCCCATCAACAAACAAATGGGTAGAGAAGCTGTGGTATATTCACACAATGCAATATTATGCTGCATTGAAAAACAAGGAACTCATGCAATATTATTCACAATGGGTGACCCTGGAGGACATTATGCTGAGTGAGGTATCTCAGTCACAAAGGGACAAATGCTATATGGTGCCACTGTTGTAGAATGAGGCTGACATAGGGATGGGGGTAAGACTGAGAAAAACTGGATGAAATATGTTTACGACATTGAAATCTTTGGGGGAGAGAATATTTTATATTTTAGGGCATTATGTTTATCGTAAGAGTACAGAATGAGGGTTGCAGAGTGGATTATATTTGGGGGTTGGGGGATGTGTGTGTGGGATTGCGTACCAATGAGGGAGTTTTTCTTTTGCGTTTGAAGGAGAGGAGCAAACGGGGGGTGGGGAGTGGGGGGGGCGGGGAGAGGGCTGCAACAATGAATGAATGGAATTCCAAAATCTCTGTAGATGTTCAATGAAATGAAAAATAAAGAAATTAAATTTTTTTTTAAAAAAAGAACTGTAAGAAAATAATAATTGCAATCCCAGAAGTACACAGTTCAAGTCCACCAGATGCTTTGCTGGAAAAGGAGGTGCTATCTCCTCCTATACCAGTCAGATCTGATTTGACAGCACACACACACACATACGCACACACACACACACACATACACACACACACTTAAAATATTTTAAAAATAATAATTGAAGGGATGTAGAAAGGGATGTATAAATAAAATAAAAATGACTAAAAAAAGCACATATAGATAGTTCTTTTAAAAGCATAGTGCTCCAGACAGACACTCTTTGCTAGCTAAGCTAAACTACTATTTAGTTGTAAGTAGACTTCAGGGGATATTTTTGGTTGTAGGTTATAATTTTGGAAGTTAATCCAGTCTCCATGGCTACCAACAGTCTAGAGTCCCTGAGAACTTGAAATTTTCCATAGTTTCTCTCTTTTGATTAAGATTCTTTTGTCGAATCTTTGATCAAAATGTTCGGCAATGGGAGCCAGGCACACATCCAGTCCTGTGATAACGACTAAGAAAGTAATTGTCCTTGGAGACACTTAGCAACACATTCCATTTCCTCCTCCTAGTCTTCACTGGCCTTTCTCCATTGTTGTTTCAGGTAAAGAGATCAATTGTGCTTGCAGACTTTTAGCACTCTTACACAATGTTCTATACAAAGGATTCGGAGGTAGAGCAGTAGCACCAAACACAATATTAGGTTAAATTTTCTGGTTTGTCTTATGAAACGGTGAACCTAAATCTCAATGCATGGAACTGGTGGGATCACCAGGTGTTGGCTGTACTCTTTAATTCAAATGAAATATCAACCAGCCCTTTTGTGTTAGAACGCCCTTGGTTAATCAGTGATATGATTTCTTTGCTGCATCAGATAAAAATCAAGCTTTGTTCATGGTATGGTTTTGTCGAGTCTTGGTTGATTTGCAGCCATGAGTTGGCTACAGAAACAAAGATTTGTCAAAATCAGCTAAAGCATTTGGCTCTGTAGAATGTGTCATAAAGACCACTGCACAGCAGGGAGTCCTGGTGGCAAAGTTCACAGGAAGTTTTGCTGCTAACTCAAAGGCCAGCCATCTCTGGTGGTTTGAAGTTACTAGCATGAGGAAGCTCTGGTGGTCTAGTGGGTAAGGAGCTGTCCTGCCCTAATCCTAACCTTGATTATCAGGCAGTTCGAAACCACCAGCTGTTTTGAGAGAGAAAATAGACGATTTCCTCCCCGGTGATTTCCCGTCTCTGAAAACTGGCTGGAGGGTCAGCTATGAATTGGTTCCAACTTGACGGCACACAACAACAGTAGTAGTACTCAAGAAGAAAGATGGGCAGTCAATGGAGGGTTAGCTGTGAGTTCTGACTTGATAGCAGTGTAAGTGATCCTAGTAAAATTCAGAATACATTTATTTGTATCTATATCTGAGGACCCCACTAATGCAACGATTAAGTGCTCTGCTAATTGGAATATCGGTGATTTGAACTCACTTAGCAGGGAGTTGTGTTGCTAAGCCAAAAGCTGAACTTCTCTGGTGGTTCAAATCTACCATTAGGTCCAGGGGAGAAAGATGCACAATGCCCTTCTTTGCCATTTACAGCCGTGGAAACCCAATGGAAGGTCAGCCATGTGTTAGGAGCCACCAGCACAACGCAGTAGCTTGAGAACATTCTTTAGAACCAGTCAGACTTGACTTGGTGGCTAACTGGGTGTGGGAGTGAAGGAGGGGAGGAGTCAGGGTAGATGGTGGGCTTCTAGTGGAGTGATCGGTCAGTGGGTGAATCACTCTCCTGGACTACTCTACCATCTTGGTTTTTCTGTTTGTAACCTTCGCTTGTCCTCAGGGAGCGTGAAGTCTTGGAGACAGACTCCTAAGCAGGAACACAGGTGGGAGAAGGCAGAGCTGGTCTGGACCCAGAATGGGTCTTTCTGCTCAAGAGAGCATGTGCAAAGAGGATAGTGAGGTGTGACTCATCTGCGGGAAGGGCTTCCTGGGAGGGGGTGTAGTCAGGAAGGTTGAGATTGAGACAAACGAGAGAGAGGTTATGAGAGGAAGGTACCTGCCACTCTAGTCTTCACCAGGACTCTCATTTGAGAGTAGAAGTTTGACGGTAGCCTTTGAGGCACAATGACTATTGAGCGGCAGATTTTATATGTATCTGTATATAAATCTCTCTATATATATATTTAGAAGTGTTTTTCTGGCATGAATCCTGGCTGAGGGTGTAGGCTAGAGGCAATGTGGGTGGAGGGTGTGGGCGGGCCCCACTGCTGGTGCCCCGAGGCCACCCACACCTGTCAGCTTGTTTCTCATCTTGCTGACTTAGCAGGTCCCACGGGTTGACAGGTGACCCACCCTTCACCCTCACATGGCCTTTGTTGAGGAAGAGGCAGGAGATGTGCAGATGTGGCACCTGTAGTTACATGGGTGTGCATGTCAGGCATGCTTGCCTGGGTCCGAGGTGGAAGCCAGTTTCTGTTGCATATATAGGTCAAGAAGGCACAATGCACATAGCCAAGGAGGAGCGCGGGAAGATGCAGGTCACCAGCACGCAGGGTGCTAGTGACGAGGAATGGAGGTGGTGTGAGTAAACACACAGACCTCCCCAGAACATGTGGTCACTGTGGGTGCATGAGGCTCCCTGGAAAACATGCTGCTCTGGAGCCTGGTGTGTAGCTGGAGTGGGAGGCCTGAGTGCTTGGCAGGTGGAGAAGGCTCCCTGGCTGACAGCTCATCCTCTTGGCTTGGCAGAGCTGAGCACCCTAAGCCTGTGGTGACGGCTGTGGCTTCTCTAAATTTATTCTCTAAGCCCCGGCTGCAGGCCAGGGTGGCTCCCCCATGCAGCCCTGAGAAGGCTTACATCCAGGCCCTGCAAGGAGGCCAGAAAAAGTGGGTGTGGCAGGTGGGCAGGGAGCCAGAGTGTTATCTTAGGCTCCCTGTAGGTTAGGGGGACAGAAGGGTCTGGTGGGGTCTGGTGAGCAGAGATAGGGGGAGACCTTGTCAGCCCAATTGGCTCATGTCCTTCGTTTGTGTCATGCTGCATATTCTGGCATGTGGTGAGCGTCTATACTCCATGTTTATATGTGTTGGCTTCTGCATCGGTGCCTGGAGCCTGGGATTTCCTTCCTATCATGCTTTGCAGCCTGAGAGATGTTTGAAGTGGAACAAACAGCATGGACTGGAAGCTAGGAAGCCTGGGTTCCACTCAGGGACTCTGAAGACATCCCTTTATCTTTTTTGGATCTTAGCTCTCTCATTTGTAAAATGTGGAGGAGCCAATAATGCTTGTGGCTTGCCTTACAAGGCTACTGACAGATTCTCATGGAAGTTTGGAAAATCAAAAAGGTTTGTTCCTAGAGGCCTCACTGGGAGCTCTGATGATCTTGCTGGTAAGGAGCGGTGCTGCCAACCCCAAGGCAAGTGGTTTGAATCCACCAGCTGCTCCTCAGGAGAAAGACAAGTGATCTCCTCCTTTGTGATTTCCAGCCTCTGAAAATCCACTGGAAGGTCAACTAGGAGTCAGATCTGATTCAAGGGCACATAACAATGTATGGGAGATGACAGGGTATTTTGTGTTGTTTGATTGAATGAGGACTTGGAAACTGGTAACAACCTTCAGAGAATTTACACTATGCCCAACAAGCGTGCTCAAACCTCTCGGGGATGGGAATTCTGAGGCTGGGCTTCAAAACAAATTAGTGTATTACAGGTCAAGACCTGTAGAGAGGCTGGGAAGTGTGTTCTCTCCACCCTTGTTTCTGGGCCCAGCTCCAATTGCCTGGTAGGGGTGTGCACAACAGTGTCCCCCAGATCAAGGCTGGGAATCTCCTCACATTTCTCATTCCCTAGCTGCCAACTTGCTGCTGTCAGGCTTATAGTCCTCAGTTCAATGTTTTCACAATGGGCTGTAATCTTAGACAGAGCAAACAGACAGCACCAAAGTCAACAACACAAGAAAAGGATGCAGTGCAGGTGACGTGGAAAAGAAAACTTGGAACCCTTGATTAAAGTGTGTGAGCTGGGCCTGGCTCTCTCTTCAGATTGCACGGGGTCAGGAATTTCCTCTCAGAGCAGGACCCTGGGGCAAAGGCCAGTCTGATAGAGGGAAGTGTGTATGTTTGAGGTGACTCCTGGAAACCCAGACCAAAGGAATTAAGTTAAATCCCCAGCAGAGGGCGTTAGTACTCAGTCTCACCAGTGCCACTGTTCTGAGGATGTGTTTGATTGGGAGTCTTTCCAGTGGGAGAACTGGGAAGTGAGGGCAGGTTTGCACATCCCCACTACAGAAAGTCTAGGTTGAGTTGCCTCAGCTGCTGCAAAAAGCAAATGAAAGGCTAACTGGGGGCTGGGAGTCGGGTGGGGGAAGGCAGGGCAGAAATGAGCAGGCTGGAACAGGAGCAGCAATAAGGAGCTGCAGCTCCCAGCCTCACCTCCTGCAGCCCCAGGGCTCGGAGTCTATAAACCACTAATTCCTGTACTGGAGAGGCTTCTCAAGACAATTGCACACACCCACAGGGATAGTTATCCTCCCTGGCCATCCACTTCCCTTCCACTCAGGACAGAGGGAACTCAACTCCCCAACATGCATTATACACCTGTTCTGTTCTCAGTGAAGAGAGAGTCATGGAACCAGACCACCCCTAGCTGGGCTGGTAGGCTGAGGCTCAGAGGAGCCCCAGTGTGCAGATCAATGAACTGGTTGCCTATTGATCATGTGAAGGCTGCCTGGACAATCCAACCCCGAAACTTAAGAGGATGATCAAGTCCAGAGAGCTGAGCAGCCAAGCTGGACAGGTCAGAAGAGTAGACATCCCCAGCTGGAGCATCTGGGGATCTGAGTGCAAACCGAGGGGATGCGGGCAGGGTCAGTCTTGATATCGTTGGAATGAACATATTGGAGGACACATCCCAGTCCTGCAGAAGATTCAGGTTGCACAGGGCTCTCCTCCCTCAAACAGGCTTCTTCTCAACTATACAGTTTTCCCCTCTGCCAGGCACTGACCAAGCTCCTCACCAATGAGTTTGCTCAACAACTCTGTGAGGTAAGAATCAATATCTTCATTGTACAGATGAAGACACTGAAGCTCAGAGAGCTAAGGGTCTCATTGCCAGACTCCCAGTGATTAAGCTGGAGTCACACTCAGGTCTACCAGGCTATAAAACCTGAGCTACAAACCATAGCATGCCACCTGGGCGTGGAACATTCCCCCCCGCCCCCCAAACAGTTAAACCCCAAAGCAGCCCCAGGCTCCAGCAGGGCAGGCCCTGGGTTTTTCCACTGCTACTCCTGCCACCATCTCTCTCTTTTTCATCCTTCTCACAAAATTTTCCTGACTCCGACTCCCCTCTCTGCTCTAATCAACCATCACTGGTGTCTGAGAGCCCATTACTAGTCTCTTTTTTTCCCTATGGACAGGAGTGGTAAACACACTCAACTTCTAACTAAAAGGCTAGAGGTTCAACCCAGAGAAAACTCAGGAGCAAGGCCTAGTGGTCTGTGTCCATTGGAAACATTACAGAGCAGTTTTACTCCGACACATATAAGGTCACCGTGAGTCTTAATAAACTCAACTACAACTGGTTTTTCCTGTGGCTTAAGGTGTTGCTTTAAAACAGCTTCTCAGAGCTTCTCTTTTAAACTATTTTGGAGTAGAAAGATCTTGAAATTGATTTAAGCAGAAAACAAAGGATTAAATCAGAAGAAAAAAGGCTGATTGGAAGCTTGACAGCAGAAGGATCAGGCTGTGGCCACCCAAACCCACTGAATGGTCAACACCATTATTTATGAAGCAATTAGACATTATGTTCCCCTCAGTGGGATGTAAGAGGAGAAAACATAGTGCCATCTACAAAGGGTTATCTACCCTACAAAGAACCATGAGTTTAAATAAGATTTAAAGCCAACTGACTGTGTCTTCTAAGACATGTAGGGGATGGAAGAAAATATAAATGACCACATTTAGAACTTGAGACTTTCTGTGTTGTTGTTAGGTGGTATCCAGTCCTCTATGACTCATTGAGGCACTATCAACAACAGATCTGAACCTTGTCCTGCCCTGCGCCAGCCGCCCAGCCACGCCATCTCTGATATGGCTGAGCTCATTGCTGTAGTCATTGTATCAATCTATCTCATTGAGGGTTTTCCTCTCTTTCACTGACCCTCCACCTTTCCAAAATTATGATCCTTTTCCAAAGAGTGTTCCTGTCTAACAAGTATATGAGACAAAGTTTCACTATCCTTGTCTCCAAGAAGCTTCTTGGCTGTACTTCCTCCAGGACATATTTTCTTATTCTCTTGGCAGTCCGTGGGATATTCAGTATTCTTCTCCAACACCACAACTCAAAGACATTTCAGATGCAGAGCAAATATTTGGAAGGATCATGGCTTGAATCAGGTGCACCTTAGTTGTTAAACTAACATCAGTGCTCGTTAGAACTTTGGAGAGTGCCTTGACAGCACACTTTCCCAATGCAATGCATCTTCTAATCTCTGTTTACTTGGTTATTGTATGCTCCTGAGTACAGCACTCATCTGTCAGTTTGCTGTACTGCGGTAACCCTGTGTTTCACTTGTCAGCAGGATCATGCTTGGTGACAGGTTTCAGAGAAGCTCCTAGAATAAGACAAACTATGGAATTTGCATGATATTGTTGTTCTGTGCCATCAAGCTGGTTTCTTGTCATCAAGTGTTTCTTTTTACCTTTTAAATTTTTAATTGAGATTTTAACGAAAGTGTATAGGAAACTTGGCTTTCCATTCATTTATTCATTGTTGCACATTTTCCTCCCTACCCCTAGTTCACTTGTCTCTTTAAAAAAAATTCTTTCATTATTACAAAATTTCCTCCCTCCCAAGTCCACTTTGCTATGCACCTCTTATTCTGCACTGTTGTCACGCAAATAATACCGAAACATACATTCCTTTTATACAGTTCTTTCTCTCATCCATTTCAAAGCAGTGTACATTATTTATCTCCTCTTTTCTTAGGTTTTTTTCCCCAACCCTCATGTCAGTCCTGTTTTATAACAGTGGTATTATACTGTATTTGTCCTTTTGTGACTGAGATATTTCACTCAGCATAATGTTCTCCAGTGGTTTTCAGAGGAAGTAGATCTTGTGGGAGGAAATTTTCCACCCTTCTCTTTTGGAGGAGCTAATGGATTCAAACAATGTGCCTTCTGAATGGCAGCACAGCTCCTTACCACTAGGCCACCAGAGCCCTCCAGGACTTTCTATAGAACAATATTTATTCAACATGACTGTGACATGATCAAATAAAAGGGAACTACTCTCATTTTCAGAGAGCCTGTAGCACAATATAAGCTGTGTGATCTTGTTTGGGTCTTGACTCAAACAAACCAACAAATCAAATCAGTGTAAAAATTTTGATAATTCCTTGAAGGGATGCCTGGTGAAGAGTTAGGCTACTAATTGAAAGGTCAATGGTCTGAACCAAGCACTTACCCTGAGGGAGAAAGATAAGGCTGTCTGCTCCCTTAGAGATTTGGAACCTTGGAAATCATACAAGGACATTCTACTTTGCCTTACAGGGTGACTATGGGTGAGAATTACCCCAAAGCAGCGAGTGTGGGTTTTTTGTTTGATAAATCTATACAATTAACAATTTAACTAGATACAGTATTGCACTTAGGTAAAAAATACTCATATGTTTTATAAATCAATCCTGAAGAATGTAACTGTGAAATGAGATAATGACTGGAACTTTTAAAAAATACTTCAGAAAAGAAGAACAAAGATGAACGAAACCAGAGTAGCAAAAGGTTGATGACTCTAGCTAATGGGCGTATAGGGGGTTTTAGTCTGTTTTTATGCATGCTTGAGCTTTTGAAAAAATGCTTTAAGAGGGGGAAAAAAAGAAAGGAAAAATG